AGCATATCTATATGGAATCTACACTTTTAATCAGTTATTCTCACAGTCTCTCAATTCCCACCCGTTCAACTCAACTCTTTCAACTCGGCTCATTCAACTCCCTCCCTCATTCCTACTCTGCTCACAGCCCCCGCCTCGGCACTAAGCCTCACTGATTGGTTGGTGCCCAGTGACGTCCTCAGATCGCGACCTAGAAGCAGCGGCCGCACGGTCATGTGGCTGGGCGGTCGCTTATGGCTCCCGGTTCTTGGGCAAGTGTGCTCCAACCTCCGGCGCCTCACCTTTGCCAGGACTTTTGGTGGCCGTAGGGGCCCCATGGAGGGAACACTCTCGACCGAAGCCGAGGCAGCGAGCGGGCTGAGAGCTCCGGCTCAGCAAAACGGAGATGCAGGTGGCGACGCGAGGGGTGAGCTGCCCACAGGGCGCCCGGAGCCGGCGGGCCCAGGAGGGCAGCCGGCCCTGGGGGACGCGAAGCAGACCTCAGGGAGCGGGGAGCAGGCCCCCACTGCAGCCCCTGGCCCAAGCAAGCGGAAGAAGCGGCGGGGCACACCTGGGGAGCGTGTCGTGCCGCCCCCGAAGAAGCGGCGGGCAGGAGTTAGCTTTGGCGATGAACACTTTGCCGAGACCAGCTACTACTTTGAGGGAGGCCTGCGCAAAGTGCGGCCCTATTACTTTGATTTCCAGACTTATTGCAAAGGCCGCTGGGTGGGCCACAGCTTGCTGCACGTATTCAGCACAGAGTTCCGAGCCCAGCCCCTGGCCTACTACGAGGCCGCAGTCCGGGCCGGGCGCCTGCACCTCAACGAGGAGCCGGTACAGGACCTCAGCATTGTGCTCAAGGTGGAGTCCTGATGGGGCCTGCCCAAAAGCGAGCAAGGAAAGTGGGGAGGGTTTTTCAGAGTTACTAGGGCATAAGTACTGGAGTAGAAAGGGAATAATTCTGAAGCGTTTTCATTTTCACTTGGAACACTTATAGCTCCCCATCCCGGCAAACAGACCATATGCTTCAGAACTCAGCCCGCTTATCCCCTCCATAAAGCTGGTTTCAGTGTTAACAAGGGACAGAAGTTAGAATTCTCATAGCTCCTTTGATGCACTCTCTTGTGGCACTGGCACTGATGACATTCTGCCCTACATTTGTACATCTCTGTACAAATAGTAATAACAGATACTTTCATTTATATTTCATGACTGTGCTGGGCACAAAGTTAAGCATTTTATGTACTTTAACATTTAATTCTAATGACAACCTTGTGAAGTAGATACTGCCACCTCATTTTACCTGTGAGGAAGCTGAGGAAACTAAGGTAAACCTCACACAGGTAAGGCAACAGTGCCACCTCCAAAGCCTGTGTTCTTATAACTTCTACTTATATTATTTATGGTAGAGTCTGATTTGATAGAATTGTGAAATGACAAGGCCAGAGACTAGAATTGTCTAGCCCAGTGCTTTGACCCTTCTTTAAAATCCCATCACAGCTAAGAGGTACCAGACACCCGTGCCAGCAACACTGGCTCACCATGATTATGAGGGGGTGCAAGGCAATTTCAGCTTTTGAAGAATGAATGGTTTGAATCCCCTCTCCCATCCAAGTTTTGAAAAACGCAGGTCTGGACTCACCCTCGCATTTTACGGATAAGGAAACTGAAGCCTAAAGAAATTAAGTGACTTGCCTGAGAGCATGCAGTAAGCCTGGAGTCTAAATCTCTAGACTTGCAGCTTGCTGTCTTGTTCAAGGTCACAGTAAGTGATGATTTATGGAAGTTTCTTCCTTTCATTTTAGAAAAATTTACTTTTAAAATATAACTTTATTGTAGAGAAAATACAAATAAGAACAAAAAATCCATAATCCTACCACCCAGATACCAGCATTAACATTTGTGCATATATCCTAGTACTTTTTCAATGCCTGCTGTCTGCCTGTGTGTCTCTGTTTTTTATAAAATGAGAATACACTATGCACACTGCTTTTTCTGCTTAAGGATGTACGATGAACATTCTTCCATATCAGTAAGGAAGAAGGGAGGAAGCTGTGTGTAAGGTTGACTGATTACAGGTTACTGGCTCCTGGGCTGACCAGTTGCCTATGTCATTGGCAGGACAATGACTTCTTACGGAACACAGTGCACAGGCATGAGCCACCAGTTACAGCAGAACCTGTCCGCCTGCTAGCAGAGAACGAAGACGTGGTGGTTGTAGACAAGCCTTCTTCCATTCCTGTCCACCCCTGCGGCCGCTTCCGGCACAACACGGTCATCTTCATCCTGGGCAAGGAGCACCAACTCAAGGAACTACACCCATTGCATCGGCTTGACCGTCTCACCTCTGGGGTCCTCATGTTTGCCAAGACAGCAGCTGTCTCAGAGAGAATTCATGAGCAGGTTCGAGACCGGCAGGTAGGCCAAACTTTTGCCTCATGCCACCACTTCCTGGTGTTCACGAATGCTCTGTGTCGAAAGGGTGTCACTGAATTCTAGATCTGAAGCTAGCCTTCGTGTTTATCTGGTCAAGCCTCCTATTTTCAGGAAGGTCAACACCTATATTGCCACGGACAGCTTATTATCTTTTACGCTTCAAAAGATCTTTAGAGATGCCTCTCTTGGTAGTTTTGCTGTTTTGAAGTTTTAAAGTGCTGACAGGCTGAGCAAGGTTTTTAAGATTGTGAGGACAGCCTACTTGCTGGAAAGATTCTGGATGGAGTCGGAAGAGGCATGGGTAGAAGAGTTAAATGGTAGTGCTTATGGTCTTGAGACTTGTAATTCTGGATCTGATTGTAATATATTTATTGTTTACTGTATACGAGGCTCAGTTAGAGCACAGCTTACTTACAACAGCTGCGCTGAGGTAAATGCGTTTCTAATGTCCCATTTTCTAGACAAGTTAATAAGATT